CAGGCAGGGGCTGATGGAGGTGAGGGCGGCACTGAGCCACAGAAGCCCCAGGGCCTGGGCCCCGCTCCAGGTGTTGGAGCCCCCTGCGTCGAGTCCGTTGACTAAGGCGAAGTGTGCTCGCTGCTGTCGGGAGATCTATTTTGTGTATAACTTTCTCTGTTAGTAGTAACTATTGGTTTTGTGGTGAAAATTTTCTTACTTTTTCTACCATATCTGTATTTTCTTAGAACTACTGGATTTATGTGGTACAGGAGGCTGCTTAGCAGTTTTGAATAGTTTTATTCTATAAATTCCTGTCAGCTATGTTGCACATCTGCCTCAGTTTCCCCATCATTGGAATGCACGTATTCACTGCCTTGTCGTTTCTCCTTTCTGCTCCTTGCATATAAGTTTCCTAAGTAATTTAACTCAAGACAGGGCTGACCATTCCGAGGGAACTGTTGTCAAAACAATGGAATTAAAAGTTTGGCCCCCCCATTAATATTAAAACACCAAGATGATTAGTTTTGTCTAATGCCATGTAAAAAATAAAACTAGCGTTGGGTCAGACACAAGGATAGGATAGCATATTTGATTCAAACTAGCTTTTTGGTATTTGTATCACTTGACAAAACGAGACGGCCATGAGCCTTGACCTTCAGGTTTTGGCAGAACTCATACACGGGGTCACTTGTGAACAAAGCAGTATGAGGCGCAGCATTGCACACGTCGCCGGGCTCGCTGCTTTGGCTCCAAGTTCCCGCCCAGCATGGAGCAGGGCCCACCAAGCAAGGCAGCTGAGCTCAGCTCCATTGGCACCTGCGTGTGCAGTTCTTCACTGGCAAAAAGTTTTGAGTGTTGTTCAGTTCCACAAGAGTCCAACCAGGAAATTAATCAAGAGTAAATTATCTTTTTAATAAAAAACTAGGGCTGGGGATTTAGCTCAATGGTTCTGGCGCCTGCCTCCCAAGTGCAAGGACCCAAATTTGATCCCTGGTACCAAAAAGAAAATTATGGATCAGCACTTAAAGTGATTTCACTTCCAGAAGAGAAACACTGGAACCAGCATATTTACCTTGGGAAGACTTGGCAGAGTGTCACATAGTCAGGACCTGTAACTTGGCTTTCAAGTCTGTTTCTCCTTCATTACTGTCTTGTTTTCAAAGAGGAAAAAAATAACAAAACAAAACAAAAACACCCAGTATTATCAAGGTCTCTATGCTTGGAAAGGTGGAAATTTTAGAATTAAGCACATAACTTTTGAATTGGTTCTTGAACTTCCCTTTGTTTTCCTCAGTGTTGACTGTGACTCGGTTATGCAAGTAAGTACGATCAGGCTGCCCCAGGAAGCCTGTGCCCTGCATTGGAATACTTCACAGAATACAAGGTTCTGGGAGAGCTGATGTGAGCATATTCCACTGAGAATATCAAACTGACACCTGTCGAACTGCTTACTGGACTGAATAAACTACTTTGTCCAGTTAAAATGGTTTTGTTAAATGTTTTATTTGTAAAGTCCTGTCACATTCCTGGTCTAAACTGGGTTGAAAAACTTGAAAATTGTCTAACAGCTGGGAAATAGTGCCTGGAGTAGAGAATTATGTATCTGAGCTTCCACCATCAGTCCTGCTAATCAAGGGGCCGGACGGTGGAGAAATGCACGGAGTACAGTAGGTTGTATGATTACGCAGTCACAAGATGGAAGCCAAAATCCGTGCTCCAAAACACCCTCTCCCTTCAGCTATTAGCTGGAACCCTGGAGTCATGGGGTGGGGGTGGGGGTGTGTGAAGGTATCTATCAGAAACATAATCTACCTTAAAATCAGTACTAATGATCACATTTCACACAACTCTGCTGGATGTAACCCTCTTAACATTGTATCAAGCCATGTGTGTAGCTCAATATGCTCTTTTGTGGTGCCTGTCCTGTGTGGAAGACTGTAAATCTTGGACCTGTCGCATATTTTCAAGGGCTTTATAAAGCAATGTGATTAACAGTACTTGGCCTGCTGCTTTTGGCTTCCATGTATTTTTAGCTAGATGCTACTATGGTGTTTAAAGGATATGGATCCTGTCTGGGAATGCACTCAAGACCTTTCCTCCCATCACCCTGTGAGCAAACACAAATGGGACCCCTGAGGTGATCGCCCCAGCAGCTCGTGTTGTGGCTTCGTAGCACGCCCTGTGTCCCGTGTTATAGAACACTGTAACACTGCTAGGCCGGCCCAGAAGGTCGTCGCGACGCTTGAAATCACGCCAACTGCCTTTGGTGCACCATCTTCATGTGTGTTATTTATAGTGGCAGCAGACCCCACAGTGTAGGACGGGTCTTGGGTAATGGACCGTTTCACCCTGACTTGTAGAGTACGTATCTTGGTCTCGAGATCAGTATGTTTTAGTTATGTATGCAACTGCCTTTATCACACCTGGTTATCACAATTCAACTCTCAGGTGTTGCAGAAAAATCTACCTCTTTCAGACTGTAGATGGAAATAACTGTGAAAAAATGATGCAGATTATCTCTAGTTTGTGCTAAACACACTGCTTTATTTTTACAGCCCACGTCTTTCATGAGGATATGAATTGTTAAGAGGCAGTCTTGTTTTGCTTTTCAAAGACATTTTGTAGATTTTTTCACTAATGTGAATTGATTTTATCTACTCGATTCTGTATAGATTAAGTAAATATGTATGATAAATTTAACAGCTTCTGTGTATTTTTTTTGTTAATCATGTCGCCTGAATCGCGCTAAGTCCAAATGCACAATTTTACCTATTTCCAGGGAGTGCTACATGTACATACAGCCATCGCCCCAGCTTCCAAAATAAGAATAAACTTGTTTATTTTAAAATTTTTATTTCTGCAAAGCCAATCAAGAAGTGTTGGAAGGAAACAGTGTAAAAGTTACCCTTGCATATTTGGGAACAGCAAGCACTTAAGTTTGAGAAAACGAGGACTTAAAAGAGTTGAATCAAAGGCAGTACCCTGCTACTTATATTTTAAAACAATGTGATGTTCCTTCTGAAACAACATTCCTTTCTTCCCTAATAACTACAATATGATACAATACGCAACAGCTCACTTGAAAGTGCTAGATCATAGGGTCAAGAACGCCATAAGCCATCCCACTTAACATGTCCCACTATACAACGTCGTTTTGGTGCTTGAGAAACCAAGCAGTTGTGTAGCATTACATTCAACAGAAACAACTCTCATACTTGGGGGTTTAAGATCCTTGTCCCTCCAGTTCCGATGTTGTGACATCTGACTCTTCATCATTGTAAATATTTTCAGCCTAGAGACAACCAAATAAATTCACAAGTAAAATTCCTTGAGGTCTTCATATAATCGTGCAAAAATAAATTAGTCTGTCAATCCAGATTTTAGGATTCACTATGACATTTTCACAAGGACTGATCAGCACTATTTTTGCACTTTCCACCAAGAAAAAGGCGGGCTAGTATTCTTGAATTATTTGCCACTATGTGATTCCACATACATGTTCATACACACTCAGTCAATGTGCACACAAGGTGTTTTCTGAACGCATCTCAAAACATCACAGGGCGCTGATGGCCTTGCTGCGTATTCAAGGTGTGGCTGACTTGTCAGCACCACTGCACACCCTCAGTCCCCTCCTGGGCCTGTGCTCAGCACACACAAGTCTCAGGAGCCAGAGTGCCACACCAGCCGACACCGGAGCAGATGCTGTGCATCAGCATCTGTTCATACAGATGTGCCCAGTGTCTGGACCAAGCAGGTGCCACAGCTGGGGCAGAGGACCAAGAGCCAATACTGAATTCAAGACTTGCCAGGGCCGGCCGGGATTTAGCTCAGTAGTTCTGCCGCCTGCCCTGTAAGTGCAAGGTCCTGAGTTCAATCCCCGGTCCCACCCCCCCACAAAAAAAGACTTGCCAAATGGGAATTTCCCTTTACAATGCAAGCACTTAGTGTAACAGGAACCTAACTACTTCTATTATATCACTAGTAAATCTCTGCTTTACAACATAACCATTTGGGAAAAATGAATCTCAGCTCACCATTTGCCATATCTGCATGATATTGTCTTCCGACACTGAGCAGATAACCCAGGGCTCATTGGGGTTCCAGCTAAAGTCTGAAATCTTGGCAGTGTGTCCACCGTGAATAAACTGTAAAGAAAACTCTTGGTAAGCACGAGTTGCCATCCATGTATACTACACACTGGGTGCCTGTTACCTGCAGATATGACGCCTCCCCCCATTTTTGGCTGGTGTCTGTCCCCAAAGACATGTTCTCTTCTCCACAACACGCACCACTCGCTGGCTCACAGCTAGGCACACTCATTTTCCCACACCAGCCCTGGGCCCCTACACTGCAGGGCACAGCCCTCACCGCCCCCCCACCAGTCTTGCCCCAGGATGCCACAGCTCCCAAGTCCCTGGGAGGCTAGAGGAGAGACTGAAGGGGCTGATTCCTACAGGAGGCAACCTCCAGGGAAGGCACTGTGCCTTCTACACCTGTCAATTAGAATTCACAAGTAACTCTGAAAGGATGGAACTATTAGCACATGTGTAGAACTGGGAAATCACATTTTCTGATAAAAGTCTTGAGTTGATGTTTTACTTTGACAATGAGGTCTCTGCTGATTAGGTTATATGTAATGTGAGTCTTTGACCAAATCGTATTATTTGTTAAAAAATGTGAGATGGGGCTGGTTGCGGTGCCCCACAACTGTGATCCAAGCGCACTGGGAGGCTGAGGCAGGAGTGTCCCAAGTGAGAGGCCCACCTGGACAACAGACACCATCACAAAAATAAAATTTAAAAAGGGCTGGGGATGTGATATGTGTGGCAGCCTGCTCCTGTGGTGGAGAATGAGTTGGGAAAGCTTTTCAAAATCATCCCAAGGGGTACATAAGTGAAAGTATTTTCAGAGCACTGCCTTGGAATGTGCCCATAGAAAAGAAACACATCAGGGGCTGCCAGGGGCTGGGGGAAGAGAGGGTTGGGAGGTGACAGGGATTTCTGTAGGAAAAAATGTTCTAGGATTGGTTGGTTGGTGGAGACGGTTGCATAACTCTGCATATACTGAATACCACTGGATTATAAACTTTGTGAATTGTACTGTATGTGAATAGTATCACA